TGTTACACGGATCCCCCTGGGAGCCTCGCCCAAGACACGGACCATCGGCGCCTTTGGATACCTGGGCTCGGTCAAGGTGTGCCTTGGCGATGTCGTGGACCGTTTCCGTTTCGACCTCGTTTTGCAGCGAAGGCGTAACGAAGACATGACGAGGGACGACGAGAACAGAACAACAACGGAAACCATTGATTAGGTCGAGCCCTGCTCCAGGCTCTATGCATGTATTGTTTTCCCTTGGGCTAGTCTCATGGGCCGATCTCCCACCACCACTGCCATTGGTAGAAGAGGGAGGAGGATGAAGACGCGGAGGATGAGAAAGAGGAGGAGGAGGAGGAGGAGGAGGAGGAAGAGGAGGGGGAGAGGAGGAGAAAGAGGAGGAGGAGGAGGAGGAGGAAGATGAGGAGAAAAAGATGAGGAGGAGGAGGAGGAGGAGAAAGAGGAGGAGGAGGAGGAGGAGGAGGAGGAGGACCTTCCCCCCGTCCGATCTGTGGTAGTGGTGGCTCCTCCGAGCCACGACTCGGGGCCCCGGCTCCCCAGGGGGTGACCGCCTCCACCCCGTGGCCCCCTCGCCCAACCTGCCCCGAGGCCATCGCAAACACGGATTTGCGGGGGCGTGGAGCAGCGACGCGTCCCGCTCCCGCGGGAAATCGCAGATTCCCGCCGCCGAACGAGGCGGCAGCTGCCGCAGTTTGGGGCGGGCACCTCCCCCCGATCCATGGACTTGGCGACCGCGCGCCAAGTCCATGGATCGCGAATCCATGTTTGCCCCCACCCCCCACTGGCGCGCGCGCGCGCTGCTCCTTGGTGGAGCTGCGCGCGCGCTGCTCCTTGGCGGAGCGCCGATCTCCCCCCTCCCCGAGAGAGAGAGAGAGAGAGAGAGACAAAAAAAGGAGAGAGAGAGAGAGAGAAAGAGAGAGAGAGAGAAACACAGAGAAACAAAGAGAGAGAGAGAGAGAGAGAGATATCGGTCACTCGCAGGAGCCTGTTTTCTTTTCAAGTCTGGGCGACAACGGCCGTGATCACGGCACGCTATTGGGCTGGCCTACGGCCAGTGCCGCCGATCCGGGGGGGGGTGAGAGCGATCCGTCTTGGACATTGTGAAGGCCCAAGAAACGAGCATGCAGAAAATATACGTTTTCCTAAGGGAATGGGTCTATTTGTTAGTCTTTGGGCATTCTTGGGAAGTGTCGTGAGGGATCCTGGGGACGTCTTGGAGGTTTCTGGAACTGTCTTCGGGGCATCTTGGGCGGTTCGAGCGATGTTTCGGCGATTCTGGGCCCTCTAGCATTGTCTAGGGGGCCTCTGGGGCCTCTCTTGGCTTCCTCCTGGGCTGTCTTGGGCGGTCGGGGCTCCTGAAGTGGAGTTTTCTATACCCCCCTGTCCCCGGGTACCGAGAAACGTCGGAAATGACGTCGGAAATATCCCCGTGTACCGAACAACGTCGGAAATGACGTCGGAAATAACGTACGCCCCCCCCCACCCCACTGCAGAGCGAAGCTTGAGCGAGCTCAAGTCCACGCTCTCAGAAACTCACACGCCGGATCGGCGGATTTTGCCCACGTTCGAAAAGATGTCATGCGGATTCTTTGCGGATTTCAAGATTTCTGGCGCAGAGGGGGGCATGGGGGAGGGGGGGGTCTTCTCAGAAGCGCCCCTGCTTCGGAGGAGTCGCGGGCCTCATCTGCAGATGTGGGGCCGGCGCCTTCTAAGAAGTGGCCTCCTTCTTGGAAGCTTCCCCCCCTCCCACTACCCCCTGTGCGCGCCGCCAAGAGAGAGAGGGAGAGAGAGAAAGAGAGTTCGAAGAAGAAAGCACGGCATGAACATACACTTTCCACGGTCCGCGCGGATTTCTTGGATCTGCGCTGACCCCCCCTGGCGGCGACTCCCCGCTGGCCCTGGCGCGCGGAGCGCGCCAGGGAGGGGTTTCCAGAGCAGATCAGAAACCCGCGCGGACCGTTGAAAGTTGAAATGCCTATTGCGCGTTTTCTTCTTCTAAGAAAGTCGGCCACGCGCAGAGGGAGGTAGGGGGAGGGGGAAGGCTTCTGAGAAGCACACCTGCTTCTTGGAAGGCGCGGGCCTTCCCTGTAGATGTGGGGCCGGCGCCTTCTAAGAAGCGGCCTGTTTCTGAGAAGAAGCCTTCCCCCCTACTCCAGATTTCGTAATAAAGGGAGGGGGTCTCATTTCGGGGGGGGTCTCTTCCAGGCTATCTTGGAGGGCCTGGGGGGGTCTGGGGACGATGTTTTGGAGGGTTCTCCCACGGGGGAGGTCTGAAATGGCTTGTCTTGGAGGGTCCAGACCCCCTCCGTTTTATTACGAAATCTGGAGTACCGCGTTGTGGGTAATTACCGCTCTCAGTGGAACCCCCCTATGGGGCCACGATCCTCGTGAGGGGTGTGCCGAAATGGGCGGGGGGACGCATGCAAGCCCTGCCGCTGGGGCCTTCGGTGGAGCTCCCTATGGGGCCACAATCCTCGTGAGGGGTGTGCCGAAACGGGTGGGGGGACGCATGCAAACCCTGCCGCCGGGGCCTTCCGTGGAGCTTCCCATGTGGCCACGATCCTCGAGAAGGGTGTGCCGAAATCAGCGGGGGGATGCATGCAAAACCTGCCGCTGGGGCCTTCGCTGGAGCTCCCTCTGGGGCCACGATCCTCGTGAGGGGTGTGCCGAAATGGGCGGGGGGACGCATGCAAACCCTGCCGCTGGGGCCTTCGGTGGAGCTCCCCATGGGGCCACGATCCTCGTGAGGGGTGCGAGAAATCCGCGGGGGGACGCATGCACACCCTGCCGCTGAGGCCTTCGGTGGAGCCCCCTATGGGGCCACGATCCTCGTGAGGGGTGTGCAGGCACCCGCGGGGGGACGCATGCAAACCCTGCCACTGGGGCCTTCGGTGGAGCTCCCTATGGGGCCACGATCCTCGTGAGCGGTGTGCCGAAATCGGCTGGGGGACGCATGCAAACCTTACCGCAAGGGCCTTCGGTGGAGCTCCATCTGGGGCCACGATCCTCGTGAGGGGTGTGCCGAAATCAGCGAAGGGACGCATGCCAAACCCTGCCGCTGGGGCCTTCGGTGGAGCTCCCCATGGGGCCACGATCCTCGTGAGGGGTGTGCCGAAACGGGTGGGGGGACGCATGCAAACCCTGCCGCCGGGGCCTTCCGTGGAGCTCCCGATGGTGCCATGATCCTCGAGAGGGGTGTGCAGAAAACCGCGGGGGGACGCATGCAAACCCTGCCGCTGGGGCTTTCGGTGGAGCTCCCTGCGGGGCCACGATCCTCGTGAGGGGTGTGCCAAAATCGGCTGGGGGACGCATGCACACCCTGCCGCTGGGGCCTTCGGTGGAGCTCCCTATGGGGCCGCGATCCTCGTGAGGGGTGTGCCGAAATCAGGGGAGGGACGCATGCTAACCCTGACGCTGGGACCTTCGGTGGAGCTCCATCTGGGGCCACGATCCTCGTGAGGGGTGTGCAACAGTCAGTGGAGGGATGTATTCAAGCCCTGCCGCTGGGGCCTTCGGTGGAGCTCCCTATGGGGCCGCGATCTTCGTGAGGGGTGTGCCGAAATGGGCGGGGGGACGCATGCAAACCCTGCCGCTGGGGCCTTCGGTGGAGCCCCCCTATGGGGCCACGATCCTCGTGAGGGGTGTGCCAACATGGGGGCGGGGGGACGCATGCAAACCCTGCCGCTGGGGCCTTCGGTGGAGCTCCCTATGGGGCCACGATCCTCGTGAGGGGTGTGCCAAAATGGGGGCGGGGTGGCGCATGCAAACCCTGCCGCTGGGGCCTTCGGTGGAGCTCCCTCTGGGGCCACGATCCTCGTGAGGGGTGTGTGCCAAAAATGGGCTGGGAGACGCATGCAAACCCTGCCGCCGGGGCCTTCGGTGGAACCAGCTATGGGGCCACGGGATCCTCGTGAGCGGTGTGCCGAAATGGGCGGGGGGACGCATGCAAACCCTGCCGCTGGGGCCTTCGGTGGAGCCCCCTATGGGGCCACGATCCTCGTGAGGGGTGTGCACACACCCGCGGGGGGACGCATGCAGATCCTGCCGCTGGGGCCTTCGGTGGAGCTCCCTGCGGGGCCACGATCCTCGTGAGGGGTGTGCCAAAATCGGCTGGGGGACGCATGCACACCCTGCCGCTGGGGCCTTCGGTGGAGCTCCCTATGGGGCCGCGATCCTCGTGAGGGGTGTGCCGAAATGGGCTGGGAGACGCATGCAAACCCTGCCGCCGGGGCCTTCGGTGGAGCTCCCTGCGGGGCCACGATCCTGGTGAGGGGTGTGCCGAAATCGGCTGGGGGACGCATGCAAACCCTGCCGCTGGGGCCTTCGGTGGAGCTCCCCATGGGGCCACGATCCTCGTGAGGGGTGTGCGAACATGATGGGGATGCGGCGAGCAGAAGCAGGAATGGGAGGAGGGGGAGGGGGGAGGGGGCAGCGGGGAGGGGAGACGCGGGGCGCTGTCTCTTCAAAGCGATTCTCTCGGGTGCTCCCCGCAGCGTCGCGCGCGCGCAGTGCGCCCGCGCAACGTGCCTGCACGGCGCGCCCCCACAGCGCGCCCGCACAGCGCGCCTGCACGGCGAGCCCGCCACCCGCCATCCGACGACGCCCACGCAGGGACCGCTCGGCCACACCTCACTCTGATAGTTAAGCCACCACTCAAGAGCCAGCGGTCTTACGGAGGGGGAGGGGGAGAAGGAGGAGGAGGAGGAGGAGGAGGAGTGAGGAGGAGGAGGAGGAGGAGGAGGAGGGGGCAGGAGGAGGAGGAGGAGGAGGAGGAGGAGGAGGAGGAGGAGGAGGAGGAGGAGGAGGAGGGAGGAGGAGGAGGAGGGGGAGGAGGAAGGAGGAGGAGGAGGAGGAGGAGGAGGAGGAGGAGGAAGGGGGAGAGGAGGAGGAGGAGGAGGAGGAGGCGTGCTGGCCGGACGTTCGTGGCGTGCTGCCCTGGCCGATGTCGTTGGGAAGGGCCTCGGGCCGACTCCTGCCCTGCAGCGCCCCCCGCACCCTCCGAGGCGGCTGCACTCTGGGCTGCACGGCGGCACGGACCCGTGGCGCCCCCCTTCCGCCTCCCCGCGCGCCCGCAGAGGAGGAGGAGGAGGAAGAGGAGGAGGAGGAGGAGGAGGAAGAGGAGGAGGAGAAGGAGGAGGAGGAGGAGAAGGAGGAGGAGGAGAAGGGAGGAGGAGGAGGAGGAGGAGGAGGTGTCGCCCCCCTTCGCCTCCCTGCGCGGGCCCCCCCCCCACCTCGACTCGAAGAAGGAAACACGCACGCGGATTTCTGGGATCCGCGCCTGGGCCCCCCCCGGCGGCGCCTACGGCGCCGCCCCTGGCGCGCTCCACGCGCCAGCGAGGGGGGTCTAGCGCGGATCCAAGAAATCAGCGCGGAGCGCCAAAAGTTTTTCCAAACCATCCTGTGTTGTTGGGTCCTCGTTTTGAAGAAGCGGTCCCCGCGTTCTCCTCTTCTCCTCGTCCCCCCCCCTCCTCTTACCGTCCGCATGCGTCCCGCACACCCAGTACAGCGTTTTGTAGCCCCATAGGGAGCCCCACCGAAGGTCCCAGTGCTACCGTCCGCATGCGTCCCGCACGCCCAGTACAGCGTTTCGTGGCCCTCCTCCCCCTCCCCCCTGCGTTTCACCCACCCAGTACAGCGTTTCGTGGCCCCATAGGGAGCCCCACCGAAGGTTCCAGTGCTACCGTCCGCATGCGTCCCGCACGCCCAGTACAGCGTTTCGTGGCCCCATAGGGAGCCCCACCGAAGAGCCCAGTGCTACCGTCCGCATGCGTCCTGCAGACCCAGTACAGCGTTTCATGGCGGGAGGCGCCGCGTCCATGTACGTGGCTGGGCGCGTACGTCCTCTGTGGGCTTCCTACTCCAAGCGGCGATACCGGGCCCTGGGGCTGTCAAGAACGGCTCATCAGGAAAAGCTGATCCCCGGGAAGGGATCCAGGCCCTCTTCCGCGCGCCGCCCCATCGGGTTCGGGCCAGTCTGGGGGATGGCATGGGCTGCTCTCAAGGGCAACGATAGGGGGCCTGATGGCCCACTCTGCACATGACGCCGTTCTGCGATCGCCGATCCACTCTGGGTGTGATGGTCCACCCTGCGCTCGCCGATGTCCCGGCGATGTACCACCGATTGCAGGTCGATGCCCCCCCCTTCCCTGGCCGGCCCCTCCCTGTTGTTGCCCTTCGCGAGGACAGAGGGCTGAGAGACAGCAGGGGGTTCGGAAGGCAACTCCTCGGTGGCCAAAGTCTGATTTTGCCCTGGTCCGAAGTCCGGCTTAATCTGGCATAATCCCGAGTAATCCGGCTTCATCCCGCTTAATCCGGCTCAATCCCGCTTAATCCGAAGCCCACTGGCGTAACAGCCCCGCAATGGGGCTTGATCCTCCTTAATCTTCCCGACGAAGACCTCCCAGCGGTTGCTTCCTAAGGGGGTTGCCTCGAGGTTTGCAGATCGATGCTTGATGCTGTCGGTCAGCTGTCCGTCTTCTCCGAGCCTCCGCGGGGCTCCTCGTCGCCACGCCTGGACTCCCCTCCAGAGTCGGTCAGCGCGCACCCCTATGGGCCTATGGGGCCTCTGTGGGGTGGGTCCGTGGCGGACCACTGATACAGTCAACCCGCAGGCAGTGGGGGCGCGCATCAAGAAACCATATGCTGTTCGTCAGGGTACCCTGAGTTTCTTCGCTCCTTGCGCTGCGCGGTGACTTCCCGCAGCCGTTGAAGGAGCTGCTGCGTTCAGGGTGCTCCAGGTTTCCCCTCAGGTGCACCTCGCGCACGGGTCCTCAGGGCTGTTCTTTTCTTGCGGCCGCGCCCGCACTGTAGTCAGGATGCGCAACCTTCCCAAGGGTACCCTTGCATCCTTGCCCCTTCGGCCCGTCTTTGGCGACTCTCGCTGGCCAGCCTCGTCCGAAGAGCGCCAGCGGGGCCCTCCAAGGCCCTTGCATCCTTACCGCGCATCCTTAGTATACGGGTTGACTGCAATGTGCTACTGCACAGCCGATGATTTGTGAATTTGTGTTCGGGCTGGCATGAAGTCGGGCCTGTCCCTCTACAGGGGGGGATCTTCAAAAATAGTTCAAAAAGAGTCGGGGGACTATTTTTCGTAATGTTTGATCATGTTTGAAGTATTTTGTGTTGCTGTTTTCTATGTTTCGTCCAACATCCGCCTGTAGGGGGACATGCCCGACCTAAGGCTGGCATTGGCATCCTGTGCAATTGACCGCCCCTGAGGGCGCAGACGCCGCCGCCCCACTTCTTGGGGAAACGCGGAGTCAGCGGTTGGACAGTGGAGGCGGACTGGGGGAGCCTGAGCAGCAGGGGGCGCGACAGGGGTTCAATCTATGGCACAGGGGGGCTCACGAGTGGCCAGAGACTGCCCAAGAAGGCCCCGCGATGTTCGCCGGCAAGGGCAGATGCCACCCGGATGTCACACCAGAGGCGGACTCGGCGAACTATTCCAAATCCATTATTGATCGCCCCCTGGGTCCGGTTTTTAGGGCGCCTGTTTCGTAATTGGGGGGGGTCCGGTTTATTAGGGCGCTTTCTTTGGATTGGAGCTTAGGGGGTCTGGTTTATTAAGGCGCCCTGTCGAAGAGGGGGGTCCAGAATATTAGGTCGCATTTGGAGGGGGGTCTGGTTTTTTAGGGGGGGTTCGATTATTAATGGATTTGGAGTAAGGGAGCTGCTGACTTCGATTTCGGCTTCTCCGACGGGTCCGCGGGGAGGGGGTTTGAAGGAGCGTGGGAGCCTTCGGCCCTGACTGGGTTGTGTCAGGGGGGAACGAAGCACACAGACACAATCAATCGTCGACTCCCAGGAGAAGATGGGAAAATATGGGAAGTGGTGGAGAAGACGAAGACCCTGAAAATAGAAAAACATGGGGAATGCTTTCATTTGTGTATATTTATTTGTGTGTCCCCGGTCCCCCCTTTATTGTGGACAAGCGGACTCCTGCGGAGGCTCCTTGGGGCATCTTGGGACGCTTCTCGGAGGCCTCGTGGCGGCATCTCTGGGGCCCTCTCGGTCGCCCTGTGGGGCTTCTTGGAGGCGTCGCGTGGGTCTCTGGAGGGATCTCTAGGGCCTTAGCTGCCCTGATTCGGGGGAGCGTAAGACCTGGGTTTGCCAGGACTCGGGTTCGCCATCGTTTTTTGACGACCGCGCCTCGGATTTGACGAGGAGGAGTTTCGTGGGATGTCTGCAGCGGGAGGCCTCGTCAAAATGCAGGCTCGGCCTCGTCATTTTTTTGACGACCTCGTCGGGGATTTCCGAGTCCCCTGTACCCGGGTCTTACGCCCCCCTGACTGATACGCCCCGTGTTGAAACGCAGCGCGTGCCGTGTTCGGAACGTCCGTATCGACACGCTGCGCGTTGGCTCGGCACGTGTTGGTCCACGTTTGGGCGAACGCATCGCGCCAGACCCACGTGTTCAGCCTACACCTACGAGGAGGAGGAGGAGGAGGAGGAGGAGGAGGAGGAGGAGGAGGAGGAAGAGGAGGAGGAGGAGGGGGTCTGGACCCTCCAAGACGAGCCATTCCAGACCTCCCCCGTGGGAGAACCCTCCAGAACATCGTCCCCAGACCCCCCCAGGCCCTCCAAGATAGCCTGGAAGAGACCCCCCCCGAAATGGGACCCCCCTCCCTCTATTACGAAATCTGGAGTACGTGTCCAGCTCCGCGCCAACACGCTGCGTGCTGCGTGTGGCGCATCGGGGCAGCTAATTCTGTAGGGCCTCCGGAGGGGCCTCCGAGGTCGGCCCCGGAGAGCCGTCAAACAAAACATTCGCCGAGGGTGCTTCGAGAGAGCCCTAAAAGAGAGCTCGAACAGGTACCGAACACGGCCACAAAAGGCACCGGACATACGGTAGGTTTGCGTCGTGTCGACCAGCGGCGACCCCAGCGCGGGCGTTCAAGGTTGAACGCCGCCGGCGACCCATAATCGATCGATGTTGAACGATCGGACGTTGCGGCAGCGGCCGATCGTTTAAGGTTGAACGATCCCTGCGGTGTCAAAAACCAACGCTGGGGTCGGCACGACACGAACCTGCCGTACTGGAATATGTGGGGTTGGCTCAAGGCCGTTGGAGTTCAGGCTCTGCTTCGCTCTGTTGGGCGTGCCCGGCAGCTCAGCTCTCGCAGGGCCGGTCCCCGTCGGACCGACATCGAGAGCTCGCTCAGCAGCCTCCAGGGCAGGATGGGAAGCCGCGTCGAGGCCTTCATTCCGCACGGCGATCGTGTGGACGATGTGGGCAATGAGGACGCCGGCGAGAATGGCTTCTTGACCACAGCTACAGACAGCGAGACGCTAGCTCATATAGGATACCGCTCAGACGCGGATGGACTGCGAGCCGTCGCTGTGCTGAGCGTCATCGCCTACCACATGAACACAGGATGGCTGCCAGGAGGCTACACCGGAGTCGATATCTTTTTTGTTATTTCCGGAAATGTTGTGATTGCGTCTCTGCTCAGTCACCCGTGCGGCAGCTGCTCGGAGTTCTTCTGCGGTTTCTACGCCCGCCGGGTCAAAGGCTGACCCCGGCGCTGCTGATTTCCATGGCGTCCTGTGGATTCTACATCGCCATTATGGTACCGCCCATGACTCCTCACCTGAAGGACAACTTCGCAGCCGCCGCCATTGCGCTCTGCGGCGCTTCCAACGTGTTCTTCGCGTGGCTCGCCCAGGCGACTGGCGACGGCTACTGGGACGAGATAGCGGTGCAGAGCAGAAACGCAGCCAATCCATTTGTGCACCTCTGGTCTCTTGGCGTAGAGGAGCACTTCTACCTCGTCTTTCCCCTTCTCGTCTTGCTCGCGCACGGCTGCCGAGTTGTTGCCTCGGCTGGCTGCCGTCCGCCATGGCCAGCATCCCTCATCATCTTTGGGGCGTTCGCTGCGCTCTCCGGCTGTGTATCGCGGGTGATGACCGTGCACGCCCCAGACATGGCCTTCTATCTGCTGCCCGCGCGCTTCTGGGAACTGGCGGTCCGTGCCATCCTTGCCGACGCCCACGCTGCTGAGAGGCTGGACATGACAGCGGACGGGAGAAGCGCAGCAGTGGTGGGGGCTCAGGACCTGGTGGCCACACTGCTAATAGCCTCGAGCATCGTGCTTGTCACGGTCAGCGTGGGCTTCCCCTTTCCTGGCGCGTTGCTTCCCGTGGCGGGCGCCGCCTGCGTCATCATGGCAGGGCGGTGCGAGTCGAGCGCCCTGAGACGCGTCCAGGGGGCAGGAGCTGCCAGGATCCTCTATACCTGTGGCACTGGCCTGTTCTTACGTTCGCTGAGGGGACTGTGGTGGACGATATGCCCGTCGCCTGGAGGTGCGTCCTGCTGCTCTCAGTCATGCTCGCGCTGGCCCCTGCGACGTACCACGCGGCGGAGGGGCGTTTCTGGCCCAAGGCCAGGCTTGTTGTTGTTCCCCCTCGTGTGGTGTTTTTTTGTTCCAACTCGGGGTGTCGTCGGGGGTGTCTGGGAGTCTTTTTTTCCCCCTCCCTCCCCGGGGGGGGCGGCGGGGGGGGGGAGCGGGGGCCTCGAGTCTGTTGTTTTGTTCCTCGGACGATGTTTTGTTGTTCCCCCTCGAGTCCTTTTTTCCCTCGGGGGGTGCCGCGGGTGACTCGGGGGCCTCGAAGCTGTTTTTGTTTTTCCCCTCGGAGGCTTTTGTTTTTGTTCCCTCTGGCTTTTTTTTCTGTTCCCCCTCGGGGGGGGCGGGGGGCGGGGGCGAGAGCGGGGGGGGGCGGGGAGGCCCCAGAGGGACCCAGGGAGGGGAGGAATCGCCTGGGGATATCGCCGGGGGGGAGTCCCAGGTGGGCCCCCCCAAGGGGGGGGGGGGATGGGCGGGCTCCGGAGCGCGCCGTCTCGCTTCCAGCGCATTCTGTGCTGCCAGCGCACGAACATGATGGTGTTGACGGTGACGATGAAGATGATATTGATGTTGATGAGTATGTTGTCGATGGTGGTGATGATGATGAGGAGGACGACGAGGATGATGATGACGATGATGATGATGATGATGATGATGATGATGCTGATGATGATGATGATTGTGATGACGGTGATAATGATGATGTAACTCATGATGAAGATGGTGCTGATGATGATGATGATGATGATGATGATGATGATGATGATGGTGATGATGACGATGATGATGATGATGATGATGATGATGGTGATGAGGATGAGGATGATCATGATGATGATGGTGCTGATGATGATAATGTTGTTGATGACGATGCTGATGATGCTGATGACGATGGGGGTGCTGATGATGATGGTGGTGGCGATGATGATGGTGGTGGTGGTGGTGGCGATGATGATGGTGATGACGATGACGAAGACGACGACGATGACGATGGCGATGATGAGGAGGCGGAGGAGGAGGAACTGCATCAGTGCCAGTAGCAGTAACAGCAGCACTAACAGGTAGCAGGAACAGACGCGATAGCCTGAGCATCGGAAGGAGCCAGGAGCCATACGCAGGGAACACGGGCTGGGAACTAGGGAATGGGAGCTAGGATGAGGAAGGAGAGAAATAGATGACGAAAGAGAAGAAAGAGGAGGCGGGGAAGGAGGAGGAGGATCACAGTAAGCCCAGGATGCATCACGGATTCTGCAATACACCCTCCTGTCCCAAGAACCCTCCGCAGAATCCCCATGAAAAAACGTTCCTGTTGCACTGCGGGAAGCGATCCCTTGAAAGGTAACGCCCCACTGGCCTGCCATTCAGTCCAAAGCCCCGTCTTGGAAAGATCCGCCCACCATCCGTGTAGCGGATGTGTAAGTACCGCGCTGCTTGCGAAATGTCCCGCCACCGTGCCCATCACGCATGTTCGCCGGTTCTCGTTCGAGGGGGCAGCGGACGCCGTTCTCGCGAGGGGTGAACAACATGAGAATTGATAACGGTGATGGTAATGATGATGGTGATGATGAGGGAGATGATGACGAAGATGAAGATGAACATGATGATGATGCTGATGATGATGATGATGATGAGGTTTGCGATTCGGATGATGGTGGTGATGTGATAACGATACCGTCGACGATGATGATGGTGATGCTGATGATGATGGTGGTGATGATGCTGGTGCTGATGATGGTAACTCGGTAATGATGATCATTCGGACCCTTTGCGCATCCCACGCTGAAGAAACACCCGAAGACCAGAACACGTACAAACCAACATTTCCCAAGACATTGCTACCCTAAGAACATACCACCCTAAGGCCTTAGGACCCTAAGGTCTTAATACTCTGTGACACTAAGACCATAAGACTCTAAGACCCTAGTCCTCTTATGCCTTAGTACCATAATGGTATAATTCCCAGATGCCCTAGGACCCTAAAACCCTGAGAGAAAACCTAATACCCCAAGACCATGACACCATAGAGCCTCAGACTCCAAGACCCCAAGTCCCTAGTACCAGATCACCCTGAGATATCAACACCCCAAGACCCTGATGCCCTACGGCCATAAAACCATAACGCCTCAAGATCCGAAGACCACAAGGCCAAGACGCTTCACGACCATAATACCCTAAGGCCCTACAGGGCCAAACACATGAGACCCTAACATCCTAAAACAATAAGGCCTTGAACACCTAACACCCTAAGATTGTAATTGCGCTAAGACCCTAACGCCCGAAGACCGTACCACCCGGTCAATCTAACACCCGAAGCTCCTAAGACCCTAACACCTTAACCCTCAGGACATTTACCACCTTAACACCGACATTCCCTAATACCCTGACGCCCTTATACCCGACTGCCCTAATACTATGATGCCCTAACACCTTACCACCACAACGCACTAATACTTTAAACCCGAATACCCCAGTACCTTGATACCTCAATACGACAAGGCCCTAAAACCCAAAAGCCCTCAGACCCCAACACCCTAGCACCCAAGAACCTCAAGACCGTAATACCCTAAGGCTCTAACACCGCCATGACCTAACACCATAATGCCCTAATACCATGGTAACACCAATACCATAAGACCAAAATACCTTAACACCCTAGTACCACATCACCGTAATACCCTATAGCCCTAAAAGACCTTCAGGCTCGAAGACCCCAAGACCCTAGCACCATATTTTCCAATATAACAGAGCCCTAAGACCGTAAGGCCCTGATTCCTACGGCCCTAGCACCGGAACGCTTCAAGACCCGAAGACCTCAAGACCCTAATATTTGAAAGAGCGTGTTCTACCGCTGCTGGCGGAAAACCGGAGGTGGTCACTACCGGTTCGAACCCCCCCCCCCCCCTCCGGAAAACCGGGGGGGGTCACAACCGGTTCGAACCCCTCCCCCCCCCCCCAGCTCATCATGAAAAGGGGGGGGGGTCACTACCGGTTCGAACCCCCCCCCCCCCTCGAAAACCGAGTGGGGGTGCGGACAGTGGTGGGGACGGTGTTGGTGGGGACAGTGGTGAGGGGATAGCGGGACAGTGGTGGGGACAGTGGGACAGTGGGACAGTGGTGGGGACGGTAGTGGTGGGGACAGTGGTGGGGACAATGGTGGGAACAGGGGGGGACAGTGGACAGTGGTGGGAACGGTGGTGGTGGGGACAGTGGTGTGGGGAAAGTGGGAATGAGGTGGAAACACTGGGACAGTGGAGGGTACAATGGTGGTGGGGACACTGGTAAAGGCGTCGGCGAGGACGGCGGTGGGACAATGGGACAGAGGTACAGTGGGGACAGTGGTGGGGACAGTGGGGACAGTGGTGGAAACAGTGGGACAGCTCAGTGGGACAGCGGAGGAGTCAGTGGGACAGTGGGGACAGTGGGGATAGGCAGTGGTTGGGTCCGTGGAGACAGTGGGGAGAGTGGAACCGTGGTGGGAACAGTGGTGGGAACAGTGGGGACAGTGCGACAATGGTGGGGGCACTGGTGGGGACAATAGGGACGGTGGTGGAACCAGTGGGGACAGTGGTGGTGAGGACAGTGTGCTGGGAACAACAGTGGGGGATGTGATGCGAGCGGTGGTAGGGACCGGGAGTCGTTTGCTGGCGGTGCGTGGGCGTGTTTTTCTTTTATTTTTTTGTTTTGAGGGGAGGATCGAAACGGTGTCGTGACCCCCTCCCCCTCCGGTTTGCGAGGAGGGAGGGAGGGGGTTCCACACCCATGAAGTAGTGGACCCCCGACCGTTACACTCAGGGAGCCGGAAGGAGGGGGGGGGGGGGGGGAGGGGTCGAACCGGTTAGTGGCCCCCCCCCGGTTTTCCGAGGGGGAGGGGGAGGAGGGGGGGGGGAGGGTGTAGGGAGGGGGGGTATTTTGCGGGAAGGAGGGGAGGGGGGGGGGGGGGGGTGGGGAGGGGTTCAGCAGGGTGAGGGGGGATTTTTCGGGAGGGGGGGGGCGGGGGGGGAGACCCCCGGGTTCCGGAGGAAAAGGTTGGCAATTTTCCACGGTAAAGCGGCGGTGGATCACGCTCTTTCGGTTAAGACTTTAGAGCGCCAAACCCATAAGACATGAACCCCCTAATTCCTAGGACTTTGAGAACCTAACACCCTAAGATTGTAAGGCGCTAAGACTCCCACACCCTAAGACCCGACCACCCGCACACTCGAACACCCAAAGTCCCTAAGGCCCTAAGACCCTCACATGTTAACGCCCTTGGACCCTTACCACATTAACGCACAAATGCCATAATAACCTAACACCATAAGTCCCATGTCCCAATATTATAAGACCCTAGCTCCTTAATGCCAGAATGCTGATACCTTCAGCACCGAATACCTTCATACCTCAATACCACGAGGCCCTCACACCCAAAAGCTCTAAGACACTAACACCCTACAGCCCCTAGACCCTAATCCTAAGGTCCTCATACCGTGATGTCTTAACACCAGAAGACCAGAATCCATTAACACCCCAGTGCCACAACGCTGTAATATCCTGAAGCCTTTGGACCTTAAGACCCCCCAAACCGAATATCCCAGGACCATAGCACCAAAAGACCCTTATACCCTAACACCCAAATGCCCTAGTACCATACCACCCTAAGACATCAACACCCTAAGACCCTAAGACCCTGATGCTTACGGCCCTAACGCTGGAACACCTCAAGCCCCGAAGACTGTAAGACCCCAAGACTCCGAGACCCTAAAGTACCGAACCCATAAGACCCGAACGTCCTAAAACAATAGGACCTTTGAGAACCTAACGCTCTAAGACCAGAAGGCCCGAAGACCCTGACGCCCTAATACCCGACCACTCTTACACCCTAGCACCCGAAGGCCCAAAAGGCCCTAGCACCTTCACACCCTAGGACCCTTACCACCTTATCAGCATAATGCCTTAACACCATACTACCTGAATGTCTTAATACTAACACCGTAATACCATTATGCGCTAAAACTTTAAAGCCCGAATACCTTATTACATGTACCTCAATACCATCAGGCCCTCACACCCAGAAGTCCTCAGACCCTAACACCCTAGCACCCAAGAGCCCCGAGACCCTAACGCCCTAAGGCCCTGATACCGTGATATCCTAACACCATAATGCCTTAATGCCATGCTACCACCGATCCCATAATACCATACTGCCAGAAATCCCTACTACCACAACGCCGCAGTACCTTGAAGCCCTAAGTCTTTAAAATCCGAAGACCTTAATTCTCGAATACCATAAGATTACCAGACGACCCTGAAAGCCAACGGCCCGAAGACCCTAACACCCTAGAGTCCTGAGACCTTAACATTCTAAGACCCTAATGCGCTGAAGCCCTAACAACAATACAGTCGACGGCCCTGATACCCTGACACCTGAAAGCCCTATCACCCTACCACCCCAATGTCTTAATGCCCGAATACCTTAATACCCTAACACATGAATACCTTCATACCATCATAGCATATCACCCGGATACCTCAATACACCAGCACAGTAAACCCAAATGCCCTAACATTTCAATGCCCCAAAATCTCAATGCCGTAAGACTCTGAACCCAACTACTTTTCGACCCCAAGATTCTAACACCCTAGAACCCTATTGCCGGAAGACCACCGCGCCCTAAGACCCTAATGCCCTGATGGCGTATCACCATAATCCCCTAGTACCCTAGTGCCCTAATACCCCAACCGTTTGAAATCTTTATACCTTCATGCCTGAACACCCGAACACCTTAGTTCTCCAATTCGCTAACATGCGGACGCCCTAATACAATAATACCGCAATGCCCAGGTGGGACGCCCAGGATCTCCAAAACATCAAGCAGATGATCAATGCAATACCTTGCACAGGAAACTCGATTCCACCGCGGCCTCACCCGTGGCGTCAGGTAAGCTCGCGGCGTGCAGGGAAGCTTGACCACGAGGGCAAGAGGGCGGAGGACATCAAGCTCCGCGACGTCTTCACAGATCCGGCGTCCACATCTTTGCCCTCAGGTACTTCAAGCCCCCTAGGCTCCAACCTGCCCTTGCCGCCGTCGCACCTCGGCCCTGCAGAGACACGCGCAACTCGGCTCACGGTTTTCGATAGAACGAAGCTCAAGTCCGCGACATCGGGGGGCCTAGGAACGGAAAAGTGGAAAGTCGAGACGCCGGAGAACCACACCGCACACATCTACACGCACATCGACGAGAAGATGGCGGTTGACTACATCACAAAAGACATGCTCTTCTCTGCCACGACCAATATGCAGAAATTCTAGGAGTCGGTCGTCGCGATCGTGTGTGAGGTTATGTCCAAAATGGTCTCGAAGGTAGTGGCACAGGCGATCGTTAAACTGGGGACCGACCAGAACGGCAAGTTGCACGTTTAGATGAAGGGGTACTTCGAGACGTGACTGCCGCAAGAGGTCCCCGAGGCGGTCACGTCAAAGTTATCCACGATGAAAACCAAGCTGGCGGAAGAGATCGCAACCTCGCTGTCGCTGTCAACCGAGGCTGCCAGGTTGGAAGGTATCGATGCTGACTCGAGGCTTGTGTGTCTCGAAACGTTCGTGCCCGCCGAGTTGGAGAAGATTGTGCACATCATCCAGAACATGTGCACTGGTGTTGGGCAGAAGGACCAAGGGCCGAATCCCGTGGAGGTTGGGTCAGGATCTAGTCATGGCGATGAGCTGACCCATGAGCTCAACAAGACTGCGCGCGCCAATACGGACCCCAGGGACTCGAATGCGGTGTACATAAATTCGTTGCGCCTCCT